GATTGAAGCGCGTCCACCATAGACTTTGCATGTAAACCTGAGGCTCCTGATGCTGAAATCATGTTTGGTGTGAATGCACCATTACTCCATTGGCAGAATTTTTTTTTACTTAATTTGAGTCAATTTTTTAGACTAACAAGACTAATAATCTTACACATTCTGAAAACAAGATTATTATTCTTACACCATCCACCATTGTTTAGTAAATCAGTCTCAAAACAAGATCAAAAAGACTTTTTGGTTGGATATAAGATTTTAAAACTTGGTAAGATGGACAGTTTTTGCAGTGCATTCCCTGCCAAAGACAAGAGGCAACACTGTTTTTGCCCGTGTTTGTGTGTGTGTTTTAATTTTTTCCATAACATCACATGAAGCACTGAACAMATCTTAATGAAAGTGAAAAAGTAATCATTGGATAAACATCTACTGTATGACAGATTACCCTTTGGAGTCAGCTATGTTCAAGAGAACTCTCACATTGGCCTGACACACCTGCAGCATCCAGACACCTATGTTAGGTTGCTACGTATTTGTGGACTTCAGTTTTGCATTTAATACCATCCTCCTAGACAAGCTGATTCCTAAGCTCCACGACCTGGGACTTTCAACATCAATGTGTCTCTGGATTAGGGATTTTCTCACCAACCGGCCGCAGGTGGTGAGAATAGGGGATCAAACATTATCCGCTCTGGTTCTAAACACAGGCACACCACAGGGCTGTGTGCTCAGTCCAGCTATTTTCACCCTATTCACCCACGACTGCACAGCCATCCATTCCTCAAACAGGGTTCTGAAGTTTGTGGATGACACCACCATAGTGGGTCTCATAAAAAAAAAAAAAAACAATAATGAGACCCTACAGAGGAGATCCAGCACCTGTCTCAGTGGTGTTTAATAAACAACCTCGTGCTTAACACGAGCAAGACCAAGGAGATCATAATGGATTACAGGAGGTCCAGGAGGACAAAGTATCCACCTCTCTTATCCAGGGGGAGGAGGTGGAGTGTATGGACAACATCAAATTCCTTGCGCATCCACATCACCTCAGATCTGGCCTGGTCACTGAACACCTCTTTTCTGACAAGAAAGGCCTAACAAAGATTCTTCTTCCTTAGGAAACTGAAGAGGGCTAGACTCCCCCCCATAACTGCTCAAGAACTTCTACAGTGCTGTGACTGAGAGCATCCTTTGCCTCATGACTGTGTGATGGTAGCTGCACAGTCCAGGACAAAAAACACTTGGCATGAGTGGTCAAAACTGCTGTCGAGTTGATTCTCTAAAAAGTTTTAGTCAAAAATCTGAAATCCAATCCAGCTCACAGGCAGTCAGGCCTGTGAGTTTGAGGCCTTGGGTCTTATCAGAACTATAGCAAACCCTCTCAGCAGCTGCAGCTGCTGTTCATTCACCCACCATAAAGTCACACCTGACTTCCTGGTCATCCCCGAGGTACTTGCACTAAAAAAAACATGTAGAAATGTCCTCTTTAGTCTGTCTGTGTCTCTTAAAGTGCTKTCTCCTCCTGACTCTACCTTTTGACATACGTTAGTATAAGTTTTTTATTCCAAAGTGCAATATCCTATTTACTCTCAATTGCAATATTTTTGTCATCCCATGTGCAACACCCATTGCTGCTAACGTGTATTTGTATTTAAAAATGTCCATGTTCTATATAGTAGTGTTAAGTATTTTATAGTTTGGTGTAGAATGTACAGTATAGTCTTTCATCTTTAACTTTTTTGTGTTGAATGTATACTTGTCTGACTGACGAACACTGCACAAGAATTCGTACGTACATGAACTGCATGTGAAAGTATAAATGGCAAATAAAAACTGAATCTGAAATTGAGTGGTGTACAGAGTTCAATTTACAATTGGAGCTAAGATTTTTTTATGCAAACTAACGTAAATTTTTGCAATTGATTGCAAATTATTGCTGAATTTAGTTGGAACAAAGGCAAGGAATATTTTGTGCTTTTAACACAACTTTTGCATATATATATATATAT